CCCTTTAAGATGGCTGGGGCCAGACCGGGAGTTCTTGCTGGGTGGCGCATGCCTCAGAGGGTCTGTGCCAATCTACCAGAGAGCAGGGGTGTAAATCAGTCAAGTGACTTACTGGTATGCTGGGGCCAGCTCTGGCCCCCGGAAGGGGTGGGGCCTAGGGTGGAAGGGGCAGGGTTGAGGGGGTCAGAGCCAGCCCAAGCCCACCCTGTAAGATAAGTGCCCCCCCCTCCACCACCACCTGGGTAGCAGCAGCACCAGCCCGGGGCTCCAGGGGTTATTTAAAGGGCCCGGGGCTCTCCTCTTCTACTGCCCTGGCCCTTTAAATAGCCGCCGGAGCCCTGGGGTAGCAGTGGGGTTCCAGCTGCCTCTGCCGCCCCTGTCCTTTAAATAGCTGCTGGAGCCCCGTTGCTTCCCCAGGTAGAGGCAGGGGAGCCGCGGGCCCTTTAAATAGCCCCCAGAGCCCTGGAGAAGCGGCGGGGCTCCAGCGGCTATTTAAAGGACCAGGGCTGCAGAAGCAGCTGGAGCCCCCGCTACCCCAGGGCTCCGGACGCTATTTAAATGGCCCGCGGCTCCCCTGCTTCTACTGCCCCGGTCCTTTAAATAGCTGCCAGAGCCCTGGGGAAGCGGTGGGGCTCCAGCGGCTATTTAAAGGACCGGGGCAGCAGAGGCAGCTGGAGCCCTGCCCCTACCCTAGGGCTCTGGGGGCTATTTAAAGGGCCCAAAGCTCCCCTGCTTCTACCGCCCCAGCCCTTTAAATAGCCCCTGGAGTCCTTCAGCCACTACCCCAGAGCTCCAGCAGTGGGGCTCTGGAAGCAATTTAAAGAGCATGGGGCTCCAGCCACTGCTGGGAGCCCCAGGCCCTTTAAATTGCCCCCTGGGGAAGCTGGGCTGCTCCAGTACGGTGCACCGGCTCTTGCCAGTATGCCATACCAGGGCCTACCGGCTTACTTTCACCTATGCCAGAGAGGTACGCCTCGAGTCCCTTGATCAGTGCCCCTTTGCGGAGATCAAAGAGGGCTCCGCTGAGCCTGCCCCTCTAGTACTGAGACGTGATGGCTTTGGGGGGGCGAGCTATGGTGAGACGTCCCTCTCGATGGGGAATGGTGCTGCTGAGGTGGGGATACATGCATAGGTCCCAGTAGGGGTTTTTCCCGAGACTGGGGTACTGCTGGAGCCGGTGTGGGCGGCACCGGGAGTGCCAGGATCTCCTGAGCTGCTTGAAGGGCTTCGGGCGTCCCTAAACCTCTGACTGCCAAATGCTTGGACTGGATCCCTTTATAATTGCCCTGTTCTGTTCACTCCGTCTGAAGCACCTGGCATTGGCCACTGTCAGAAGAAAGGATACTGGGCTAGATGGACCATTGGTCTGAGCAGTATGGCCATTCTTATGTTCTTATTTTAATTACCCTTCATTATTTGTACTGTGTCAACAGCAGGCAAAACGGTGTTAAAGTGATTGAATATACAACAAAATATGGTTCCTAGTAGCATGTCCAATGTTTAACTAGGTTAGAAATTAGTAGATAATGTATTTCTTTTAATTTTAATTTTATGCATTTTGTGGAACACATATGCTAAATATTTAATACTCATGGTGTTGACATTGCTCTGTTGCCATAAATGTTAATACAATATTGTATATTATAATAAATTAAAAAATATACATAAAATATTTTATAGAAATAGACAGAACATGTACCTTTGAAATATAAGACAAGCATAAGTTCAATGGGTAGGCTATACTTTTCCAACATGAGGAACACACAAGCCAGCTTATATGCTCAGTGAAGTAAGGGTGAGTCCTGTAGAACTCTGTGGGTTAATTTCTGGCATTATCTTCATGGATATCAAGGCAAATCAACAACAAGCCAATTTAACCCTCTCAAGGAAGAGTCCACTGGAGAAGGCTGTGGAGGAAGAAAAACGTCCCCTTGTGGAGTGCCCTTCATGTTCTTGTCAGGATACAGGGGTTGCCTCCCCATTGTGGAAAAAGAAAAAGGCAATCTGGTCCCCAAGACCCTTCAAATCCTCTGTGAGCCACTCAGATATTTGGAATGGGATGGTTTCCTAGGGCCAATCTAAAAACAAAACCCTAACATCCTCCACAAACTAGCAAAGGGAAAAAGGTTTGGGTATTAAAAATGATTTTCAAATGTCAAGGCAATTAAGTGAACTTCCTGTTTTCTTCTCACCATGGGTGCTGTAAGGAAAAGGAATTAATTTTGTTCAGCAAAATCATTATTATTCATGCTATTTCAAAAAATTGTGGAAATGAACCCTAATATAAACAATTATTTTAGTTTCATAGTTCAGCGGTATGTGTTTAGGCAGGCACGTGTTTGTAACGTGTTTCTTTTATCCCCTGGAATGAGTCGGTTCCAAAGTGAGTCGGAAGCTATACATCTTGTTAGTTTAAGACAGGAATTACAATAATTTGAAACTCAGTCTCCGACACATGAATGGAAGGAGACCTTCTTTGTCAATACCTTGAAAATGTAAGGCTAAAGTTTCCTTGTTAGGTTAATTTTGGGAGGGAGAGAGAGTGGGGTGGGAGGAGCAGGAGAAATTGCTAAATTGGGCCATTCTGTTAAAGTCAATGGTTAAAGTTAAAGTCTCACTCCAGTTGACTGAAGTGAGAACAGGATTGAGCAAATAAATATGGATTAATAAAAATACTTGAATTATATTTCCTGGGACTGCACAGAACGGGGACACATTTTAGAGCTCTTTGCCCAAAGTGCTAGTTATACAAGCCAGGGGGTTCACAGGTGGTGCAACACTCACTTTTGTGCTCCTCCAATCCTGAGTGGCTGTTATCAGGGTTGCGCCCACAACATACCTTACAGTAGGTAAAAGCTATTCTGTGTCATGCAAACAGCCAGTTAGCTCAAGCATCAAATTGGCAGCAGGGGACTGGCAGGGTTGTATGAAGACACGCTCACATCCCGGTTACTGTAGGCACACCCCTCAGTTACGGCACAGTTGAAGATGATGTAAGAGGCTTTGCACCAGCCTGTACTACCAGGAGATCATGCACAGGGGCAATCCTCCCAGGGCTAGTTAAATTGGCTTTAAAGGTAGCATGGTGCAAAGCAGACACAACGTCCCAAGATCCGTTCTCCAGTCCCATAGTGAGCTAATGTTTCACTCTTGCAGCCAAAGTAATAACAGAATGGCTACTGAAACCACTAGGAACAGCACTGGACCTTAAAGGTCCTTACCTTTAAAAGGTAAGAGTTCTAACATTCTATGAATGGTCTAAGTAAGTAGGTTACTTCTGTACTGAGCTTTCATCAGACTAACAAAAAACATATATCTACCTTTCCTGGCTGGATTTCCTCTAAGGGCCAAATTCTTCTCTCAATAATACCCATGTCAACTGGCACAATGTCACTGATGTCAGCAGAATTCCTGCACTCCAGGTTTAAATCTGTGCAACTCACATCAAAGTCTCTCACTTCTTCAAATATCTCTCTAACACTGACAGGACTTCCAGAACCAGCAATAGAAACAGATGGGGATGGAGACAGCTTTCAGCAATAGAGGGCAAAATGTCTTCAAAATATGGCTGAAGGCAGATTTAAGTGCTGCAATGACCTTGTGCTACTTCTAAACAGGGGTGACTTTCACCCACTGACTTCTATGGGAGTTACTTTATCAGGAAAAAACCCTGAAAAGACTTTTTATGTTTTGATTACACTGAGGTCAAGACGCTAAGTTCTGATATGTTTAAAGAGAAGAGAGATTTTCTAATTTTAATTTAAAATAATGTGCAGAGTTTTCCCATACTTAAGATTAGTTTGGGTCCCGGTTTTTCTTCTCTATTACCATGCAACTGTCTGAAGCCACTGCTGGGTACTTCATGATCAAAAATCTGCTCAGTATGTCTGCCACTTACTTAAGTAACTGCACATCTTCTGTTGTGTAAGTTTTACCTGTCATGAATGGGTTCTCCAGATGAATGTCATTTCATTCACCAGTTTTAATTATTTTTTAACTTTAGTGTCCCACTGCTTTATATTTTAGCATATCAGAAGCTTCAAGTCTTGGATGAAGAAATTCCATTTAAAACTTTAATTTATATAGATAGGTACAGGAAAAATAAATATGGAAATGCACGACTGAAAAAACCCCCCAGCATGGCTTGATTGGTGGTTCACAGTATTACAGTATTCAGCTAGATGCTGAAGCCTGGGCAAAGCTGTGCTTCAGAAAATTACTTCACATAACAAATAATGTAGAAGAACAAGAGAGATATAGATCTCTTGACAAAGAAATGAGCACGTAAGAACTAATCAAGTTGCAGAAATTCTTATAGTCAATCTGTAAATTTGAACAATTAGAGGAACTTTCTTTTAGGCCAGCTGTTTCTCATAACCTTATTTAATCAAAAGTACTCTGAATTTGCATAATTTCTCCAAAGGGTTAGCAATGAGAATGTTTTGCCATTTTCTATCTTTTTTTTGCATTATGAAAATGTTTTTATTGAGTGCCTCTTCACAGTGCTAAATAATACATTTTCCTCCAACTATACCTAGAACTCTTTGAAATCTTAGCCTCATCAGTAAAATTAAACACACTCTCATAAGCCATTGGAATTGCACCTTCCTACATCAAGTCCACATACGGATGAGGAACAGAACCCTCAGCCGAAAACTGTAACAATATCCATGGAGTACATGGTATGGGGGAGGTAGGATAGACATTGCCCACTTAGGTGCTATTTTGGACTAGCTGATATATGGATTTACTGGCCATTTCCCTACCATTCCTTTGGCCTGCCAACAGCTCACTCTTAGCTTTGCAGCAGTAAATCCTGGAGCAGTGAAAAGGGCCTGTGGAATGCTCCTTCCCAGCCTCTCCGAGTGTTTCACTCATTTTCTTTGGTGGGAGTTTTGCAGCTGCTCTGGAGGGGGTGGAGACTGCAGGATGCATCACAAGATTTCACTCAAAAGCCAGGGCTGAAATCAAAGCAATCCAGAAAGGCTAGCAGCACTTACTGGTATGTGGTTGGACTGACATTGATGCGACGCGGATGACTTCCTGACTCAAACTTGCTTGCCAGAGTGACGTTGTTTCCAAAGAGACAATAACGTGGCATTCTCACACCAACAACTCCAGCCAGAACTGATCCTGAATGAATTCCTATCCTCATCTGGGGAAAAAAACAAAAAAATAACTCAACAACATGTGTTTGTAACTTCTGTAGCTCTAACCATTGCTAATGTAGTCAGAGTGCTTTTACAGTGTTTGCCCAGGCCACTCCCAAGAACCAATTTGAAGCGATAATAAACTGCGGAGGAGTTCTAAAGCATAAACTTTTTGAATCTCAGTGTCTACTGTAATTAATTATTCTTTGACACTCCCATTGTCCAACTCGCCCATAATTTCCCATGACTGTGAAAATTTAAAATAGACAAAAATTGAAAAAATGCTTTAAAATAAATGTTGATATTATCCATCAAAATTATATCTCAAATTCTGCCATGCCTAAGTATAACTTACATAAGCAGGGGATTACTGATATGTAAAAAATAACCACTTACAGGACACTGTAGGGGAAAGATCTCAATATTGATACAAAAATTATATTTACAGTATAATACTTTTTAAGGTAGTTACAAACTTGTTTCTGCCTTTATTGACTATTAAGATATAGCTACAAGTATGTAATAAGCAGGATGCTTGAAAATATAACAATACATACTATATTTAGCTAGCTATGTTACCAAGCATAAAGCCAATCAAAGACATTCCAGGAGGTTTCTGCTTTCTGTCCCCAAGGACAAGCACTAACTCCTTCTTAGCCATAAGGATTTTTATTGCCCGTAAGTGTTGTACAAATTCAGAAAATCTGCATTTTAAAGTATACCTTGCTTTAACTTTGTACTACTTTCTGTTGTGCCATGTTTTAAAGATGAACTTATTATTGAAATTTGTGCTTTGAACAAAAGATTCAATAGAAGTTTACTTGCTATAACAAGACTGTAACCATGTGAAACATTCATGTTTTAGGAAGAGACCTGATCGCAAGAAGGAGTGTAGGAATTTGTTATCAGAGCAATACATTTAAGTCATAAAATGAGCCTATACCTCAATTGCCACCCTTTTCTTTTCAATGGAAAATCCCTGCTTGTGTCTTTTAAAACTTAAGGAAAAACATATGTGGCTGGAAATATTTTACAGCTTTCATTTAGTTCTTAAATACTGAAATGGCAAAAATCTTTGTGAAATGCAGATCTGCAAATAAAATTAACTAAATGCAAAGCTCCTGACACAGCTCCTAATATCACTGTTATGTAAATGGTAAAATGCTTTATTTACAAATACTGCAAGGCAATTTGATGCTATAACTGTTACTAACATAAGAAGTCATATGAGTAAAGAAATGTTTATATTAATTGGGAAATTAGTTATCTGGCAATGCTTCAGCAATCCCTCATCAAACTTTGTGAAGACAAGAACCACCTCTTCAAAGACTGGTAAAAAGAAAAGACAATACCTTCTTTGATGGTCATTGCAGCCTAAAGACTCTAAGAATTTAATTTAAAAAGGCCATTTTGAGAGCTGACTTTTATAAAGAGAACAGAAATGTTTGGACTCATTTGAAACACAATTTTTACTCCTTTTAAATCCTGATGGAACTAAAGGGATATATCAGAAAACTGACTGAACTAAAAAAAAAAAAAAAAGGATTAAAACCAACTTTAAAATGTGCCTGATGCTTTCCCACCACAAGAACAACAAAAGCAGTTAAAGAAATTTTGTATATTCATTAGGCAAATGACATATGCAGGAGCTGAGGGTGTCACCTAAGCCAAACCTCAACTGCATGAAGCCAGTGAAAGGGTGACAGCGACCAACTTTGAATCTAAACAAGCCTGAAAGAGATGTGTTTTCCTAATTTCATGGAAATGGGAAGGAGAAGAGTATAAAACCCTGAAGTGAGAATTCTCCACCACATCCCCTCTGCTACCTTGCTTAGACACAAGTGCACCACAGCTCATCCTGTCCATCTCTGCAAGAAGCTGACACAGATAGATAAGAAAAACAGAGAAGACTCAAGAGGAAACCAACCCAGGGAAAAAGCTCCCCAAGACTTCAATATGGATTGGTTAACCAAGACACTGCCAAGTGATTAGATTTAAACTCTTGTAATGATTTTATTAAGATATGAAATTGCTGTTGTAATTTAAAATGCTAACAGTTCTTCAGTTAGACACCAAGTGGTTAGATCACATATTCCTGGAGTGAAGACAGGGGCTAAACATTCTAAACAGAAATTGTGGGATTTAATTGGATTTAAGATACTCAATATTCATAAATGGCATATCTCAAAACAGCTCCTTAAATAGCTTCTTCTAAGTAATTTATTTAAATATTTCTTTCACTTTCATATGATTTAGTTGAGATTGTTTACCTTGCCCAATTATGAACTCTGTGGTTATTCTTAATAACCAATAAGATTCACTTTTCCTTAAACAAAATTATTTTGCTCCTCTATAACCCTTTTCAGTTATCTAAGGATATAATAAGTTTGGCTTCATGATAATTTTGGAAAATAAGACCTTGGTCTCAACTTACCAAACAAATTGGCCCACCAAAGCAGTTTCACTCTCAGAGGTGTAATCTCTGCTAGAAGTACTTCATCAAGACACACACAGAAGGGATTGTAATTGAAGTAACCAGTTTATCTTCTGTGTTCGGTCATCTGTGTTTTATTTAATGCTTTCTTTTCCTTTACTTTTTTACTTCATAATTAGATAGCCATGGTTAATAATCATGATTATTTTGCTTGGACTTGTAAAAAGGTATGTAAAAGAATGGTTGTAAAAGAATCCCTGTGACTAAAATAATGGGAGTCACACACCTGAGTTGCAGTAAGAGAAAACAACTAGTCAGAGCTGGCTTTTCTTGTTTCTCTAGACTAGATATTTTTAGTCATTTTAAAAATCAAATTACTCGGCATCCAACAATTAAAATGACCCTTTTCTACCCCATAAATGGACGAGATGGCCAGGAACACCTTGAAGGATACTTTTTGCCACCAGAGTTAGCACATACCTTAAAATAACTTCTTTAAATTAGTGAGAAGAGGAGTGATGTGGAATGAATGAATGTGGCATTTCTATTCTTCAATTCAGTTTTCTTCCACCTCAAGGCAGCTTTTATTACTTTGTCAAACTGAGAAATGGCAAACGTGAAGATGCTGAAGATTGAGACAGTGGTACTTTTAAAATCATCTTACCACAAGGATATTCAGGAGGCACAAATCCCTGACAAACTAAAGAAACCATATCTGTTCTAACAGCCATTCCCCTGTAACTGTCTGGGATGTAGAGATTACATTGGGATAGAATGTGTGGCGGCACCATCCAAGCCCCTTTCAAAGTGAATAATCAAACAGAAGAGATTCATTTTGAACGTATTTTGACAACTAACTTACTGGCCAAGAAAATCAGCTTCACAAATAGGGAAATCTCTCTCCCTCTTTTTTTTTTTTTTAAACTCGCTCTATAAAAAAAAATAAAAAGCAGATAGCTGTATTTACATCTGGAGAGGTTACTCTTGCACAACAAAATCTAAATAGCCCCAGTACTCAAAATAATAGACAGGTAATAAATAACAGCTGTCAAAATAGCCACCACAGTGGATCTGCTCTGGACTCAAACTGGTGACCTTGCTGTAGAAGTCTCCATATCCTATTATTAAATACCTTGATTAATCTAGTTTACAGTTATTATCCCCCCATCCCTTCATCACTAGGTTTTTATATCAAGGAAAATATCAAATGCAGAGCACAAATATAAACTGGAATGACAACATCACTAGCCTATACACACAATGAATAATTGTTGACATTTCTTAGTGTTACAACACATACTAACATTTCATTATCCTGTTTACCTGTTCACGTTTGTGAAGCTCGGAGAAATTATACGTGAAGAGCATCCTACGTTATTCCACAGCCTACAGCTCTCCGCATGTGTACATTTTTTTCCCTCATGCAAACACACATGCTCTTGGTTTGGTTCCTTGGCTACAGACCACAAAACGACTTCCTGAACAAATATAATATTATACCCATTGTGTACGAAGCCCATGCCTAACAAACACACATGGCACTGATTCTAGATTCACTGAACAATACTAAACCATCCCCACGAGCACTGCAATGTTCACAATAACGCTGTCAATTACAGGCTAGGACAAAAACATTCTGTAAGTAAATAGCATTTGCCTTCAATTAAGCTTTCAACTCTTTTGGTACAGTTTTCAAGGCAACTATTGAATTCACTCAAGTACCTTTAAGCTACGGGGTTGGAGCGTGCCCACAAACTTGCTTGAGAACCATTTGTGAGTTCTCATCTCATATTTTATTTCAAAAATATTATTGGTTATGTAGCTTTACCATTTTTGTTACAGCATATGTTTTGACTATGTTGTCTGTTTCTGATCAAGAGGCAGTTCCCATAGCCAATACCCACACAAATAGTCCTTATACATACAAATAGCGCATGCAATTGTTGCTGGAGTCACGACTATTCACATCAGTGAAAGTCACCAGACCTGCCCTAAGTAAGCTCATTAGAGGCAGTGATATCTCCACCTTTGTATAGCATCAAGGATGCTGTCAGCTCTCAATAAGTAATAAGACACTTTTACAATGTCTTGTTACTGTGGGACGCAAAGGGTGGGGTGAAGGATTAGTTGCTTTGTGCCCAGTTTTAACAGAATGGAATTGTACTCCTAGTGCTACCTACTTACTCCACTGCTACTTTGTGCGTTTATTAAAGGTTCACAAACAAAACTACTTATTGTGGTCTGTCCCCTCAGTACATTCAATTACATGCTAAAGCTAGGTTGAAACTAATAGAAGAAATGGTTATGTATCTTAACAGTGATTTTTCGAGATGAGATGCAGACATGTATTCCACTTAGGTGCATGCCTGGCCAGTGCACCGGAGCTGGAGAATTTTGCCTAGCAGTACCCGTAGAGGGGCGGCGCTCACGCCTCATGGCCAGAGCTCCTCCCCTGGCTATATGAAGTGGCAATGTTCTGACCTCCCTCAGTTCCTTCACACCACAAACACCTAAAGATTAGACTCCAGTGCAGAGGGGCTGGAGGGTGTGTCATGAAATAGACATCTGGAT